CATTATAGACCCTTTAGTTATAGCTGGTGAAGAATCTGAGGGCTCCCTAACTATTCTTGAGACAAAAAGGGTATGAGATTCAAAAACAATACTTGTTTTCTCTCAAAGGGGTGACCTTCGGAGCGAGGAAGGAACTAGCTCCTGTTCCTGTCCTTGGAACTGGCAATTAGGAGCCTCTTGGACAGTATGTCCTCAGTTTTGTAGAATTATGGTAGTAGTTTTCTGTTGAAAATGAGGATGGGAAGGGGACATTGTGGTCAAATAAGTTTGTGATTTCAGTAAGGTTAATCAGCTCATGATGCTGCAGACTCTTACATGCTGCCCTGAATGGCATGTGTTCAACAAGGAGGTGTTATAGCAGGGTTTCCCAAACTTCATTAAGCATGGAACACCTCCTTTCATGCCAACACTCCTTTAATTTTAAATTACTTTAGTAGTTTAAACTACTAAAAACTACTTTAGGGCCAGGCGCGGTGGCTCAAGCCTGTGGTCCCAGCACTTTGGGAGGCCAAGACGGGCGGATCACGGGGTCAGGAAATCGAGACCATCCTGGCTAACACGGTGAAATCCCATCTCTACTAAAAAAGCACAAAAAAAAATAGCCGGGCGAGGTGCCGGGTGCCTGTAGTCCCAGCTACTCGGGAGGCTGAGGCAGGAGAATGGCGTGAACCCGGGAGGCGGAGCTTGCAGTGAGCCAAGATCCGGTCACTGCACTCCAGCCTGGGCGACAGAGCGAGACTCCGTCCTCCCCCCCCCCCAAAAAAAAACTCCTTTAAACTACTTTAGTTTTTAAACCTATTACGATATTGTTCTGTGGAAGATAGTTTGGTAAATGCAGATTTAAGGTCAACTATGGTGAAGAGAAGTGGCCAGCACAAACACAGAAATGGGTTACAGGAAGAAATATGAATGGATTGAAGCAATAATTGCATTCTGCCCCTGTTGGAGGAGCTCAGAGAAAGACCATTTGGAGGACAAAGTTCTATACAATAGTACCATGCACTCTAGCTGGATAATTTGTGATGGCACCAACGCTCATGTTTGCTAGTTAGGGAGCCTGTGGCCTTCTGCGGTTTTGTTGGGCTGACTCTGTGCTTCCTGCATAAAAGTGATAGGGCATCCCAAAACATTTAGTTACAGCACTGGCTCCAGGACCAGTGAAGAATGACTTTCAGTCATCTCAAATTCTAAGGTGAAAATTTGTTTAGACCTTTTGCTATCAAGCTACCTCCAATCTAATAAGACTTAACAGATCCTGATGGACTCCTTAGGCAACACATGGTTCAAAGAGAAGTGGCATAAAATTACTTAGCCAAAGTTGTTATTGATAACTTCATTAAAAGTGACCTCTGAGGGATGATCAAGAATTTCTGCTTTGTAGAAAGCACTGAGCTAAGTATTGTGAAGGATATGAAGGCAACTATACAAGGCTTCTGCCAATAAATTAGAAATTAATCTGAAATTTATGGTACCAAAGCAGTTAGAAAGGTGATCAGAAGAAATGGGCTTCGCTTGTGAAAGGACTGTGTCTTTGAAAATACTGCATGTTTTCTGTTGGTTGGGTACAATTATTTATTAAGTCAAAATTGTTTAATTGTTATTCAAATCATCAACATCTTTCTCTACTTGATCTGTCATTTTCTGAGAGAGCTGCTTTAAAGCTCTCCTTTTGTTGGTGGATTATCAGTTTTTGCTTTTAGTTGTATCAATTTTCCCTTAATATGTTTCAAGGCTATGTTTTAGATACATAATGGTTAGCATATTCACTTGTTACAAAGCTAGGTACAAGATCATTACTGTACTTTAAAAACCAGATAGAATATCATAGCCCATGCAGTATGGAATCATGGATGTCTCATGTTCTTAACATCTGCAGCTAATGATCAACTTGGAGAGACCCATCAGGGGCTTGCTCAGGGACCATTCTAATAGGCACGGAAAGGCTGTCACCTAAAATGTCAAAAGGACCAGATGTGCCCAGTAGTACCAGATCTGCTTTTAGCAGCTGTAGATAAGGAATCCAGTGTCTGGAACAGACATTTAGTTATAATATTTGAAAAACTTGTAGAAGCACTGGGCCAGATTCCCCAAGCTTAAGAAGTTGGTAAAACAAAATTACCCACCTTTAGGCTTTAGGTAATCAAAGCCTGCATTCATGTTGACTGAGCTACAGCCAACCTTACCTCCCCTCCGCCTTGTCTCCTTTCTTCCTGTCTCATCCCAGATACCAGACATCCTCATTTCAGTTGCATTGTTCAGGGTAGGCATACTTCAGAAATCTGTGTTTTATTGCGTTATACCATCATGCTTTTTCTGTGCCATAGGAAAGCCTGTTCTAGAGGAAGATTACATTTGTGATAAAAACATTTTAGAGTTAAGTAGGGTATTAAAGCAATCATTGTGTTTTAAAATAGAAAGACATGGAATTGCAATTGATCTTAAGTCCCGTCTTAAGGCGAGTATTTTCTTTTAATATTCTTTGTCTTAAAAAAAAAATGTGGGGCCTAGCTTCTCACAGTGTTGTAACTTCATATACACTTATTTGATTTCTAAAGCATAGTCATTCAAAGAGAAACGGAGTTCAGCAATTTCCCAGCTCCTCATAAATTGAATATAACAACCAGATCCTTAGTCAAACACTTGCCAAATCATTTCTCTCTGGTTTCCCTTTAATTCCTAAGCCCCTGCCCTCATTTCTAAGCCTTTTCTGGGGTTTTCAGTTGAAGACTTCCAGTCACCTCTATGATCACGTGTTCTTAAAGCTGCCTCTACCTCCTAACTCTCCTGTTTGAGGAAATGAAGGGATTTTAGTACAGCCACATCACTTCTAAGCCATGTTTGACATCTGTCTCCTTTCCTCCCCCCTGCTCCTCACCCTGCCCTTAATATCAGATTTGTCAGCAAATCTCACTAAATTTACCTTACCATCTGTCTCATCTCTGCTTTTTCATTTCCACTGCCTTCAGAAAGTAAAAAACTAACATTTATGGTAAGCTACATGCTGTATATTATTTCTTAATTCTTTTAGCCTTGTGCAGTTATCATTAATTGGATTTTACAGATTAGGAACCTGAAGCTTGCAGAAATCTAAGTCACTGCATAACTCATGCAACTGGCATTTTTTGAAACAGTTTGAGGTCTAAATACCCAACTACAACTCCAAGTCTAGTGTCATCTTCACAGCCATGAAATGTGCACGCAGCCCAGCCATGCTGTGTGCACCCGTGTTGGGACTGGATTCTCTCTCTCTCTTGTTTCTCTGAACTCATGAACCTCCTGTTCATTCAGTCCACCAGGCTGGTCCACTCAAAGTACTGAGTTAATTATGTCAGGTGTCTGGTCTAAAACTTACAATGACATGTTGTTGCTTGCTCTGTACGCTCCAAGGTATTTTTTTTTTCAGTTTTAATTCAAGTGTTCTCAAAAGTATTTTGGGTACAACCAGAACTCTCTCTGCTCCTTGGAGTCAGTGTGAAAGGAACACAGTGGGCTCTGGGATCAGCTAGACCTGGATGTGGATCATAGCTCACCTCTTCATTGGGAGGCCTCAGGCAAGTTATTTGCCATCCTTATCTACAAAAGCATGATGCTAAGCTCATTTCAGTTTAGTTGTGGATAGCAGAGCGTATGTATACAATGCCTGCCATAGTGAGTGCCTGGCCCTTGGCAGACTGTCAAATGGAGCTATGGAGCAGCAGCAGCAGTAATATTATTATCTAGACCTTATCTATCCTTTTAAACTCAGTTCAGATTCCTTCTCCTTTTTAAATTACTGCAACCTGATTTTATCTGCCCCTGCCTCTAAGTTGCTGTATCAGTTAGCCTCTGAACAATTCATTTAGCAATTTTAATTATATATTGCCTCTTGACACTGCTTTGTGATCTTAAAAACCCTTCTTGAAATACCCACTTGGTTGCTTTTCCTGAGTGCCGTTAATTCCTGCTCTAGTGGGCTAAAGTAATTTAAAGGCAGGACTAGGTCTTACACATGGCATGCAGTCCAATGCCTTACATGTAACTATTCACAAACTTTTTTGATCCAAAATTAAGAAACGTCACATACATTCATAAGAAACCAGTAAAAATAAGCTAAGTTGGTTTCAGATGCAGAGGGTTCCCAGGAAGGTATGTACATTGGCAATTAGCCCAAATGTCTTTGTTCATAATTTTTTTTTTTTAAGTAGAGACAAGGTTTCACCATATTGGCCAGGCTGGACTCGAACTCCTGGCCTCAAGTGATCTGCCCACGTCAGCCTCCCAAAGTGCTGAGCTTACAGACATAAGCCACCACGCTTGGCCTGTTCATAATTCTTAATGTGAAGAATATTACAGGGTAAATTTTATAACTAAGTAATTTTACTCTCCAATATGTTTGATAAAACTGTCTTTTAAACTCTGAGAAACCTTAAAACATGCCTGTATATAGAAACATGTGTTATTTTCTTAGAGTTCACACACTAAATGAGGAACCATTCTAATTTTTTCGTGATGATTATCTTCCACGTGTAAATTTTCCTCAAGTGGATTTACATGTTTCTCTCCTGCCTCCCCAATCCAGGTAAATTCTTCTCTCCTCCCTACCAAATTTTTCCTTTGGAGAGTCTGATGGAGAGGATGATGCTCTAAAAATATGTCTGAAGAAGGGCTCTTCTAGAGATAAAAATGTGGCATCTTTCAGTTGACAAAATAATTTCATTAAGTATGGGCTTCTTAATTTATTTAAGCACCTCATACTCAGAGCCAGTTGTTTAAAACTCCATACTTTATCTATAATTCCAACTGGAGCTTTGAAGGCCTCTTCTTAAACCATAGAGGTATTGCTGAAAGAAAAATTATTTGGAACAAGTTGTAGATAAGTCTCACCTGCCAACGTGTGTGTTTTATCCTGGTCACATTTCAGTATTTGTACAAAGTATATTTCTAAACAAAAGACATATTATTAATTTTGGCAGTATTTTGCCTATATAGAAAAAGGTGTTTGTGGAAATACTTACCTAAGGATGAAAGATGTCTCGTTTATCTGCCAAGCTTAATGTTGCTAAATTCAACTGTGCTGGGAGATCCCTGGAAGGGCCCTTTCCAAGAAGAATAGCATTCTTCCTTGTTGGGGTCAAGGAGAGGGAGTGAATAGTGGAAACTGGATCCTTCAGCTAAGGAAAGGTGTCCTCCCCTGGAATGGAATGCATGGTTCTGTGAGCGAATTTGAATGTGTTGCTTTGGGCCCTCTGTCTCACTCGCCTTGTCTACATGGTGATGCTAGAAGAAGCCTCAGCCAGTGTAGGGCGTAGGCTGGCCCAGTGCTCACTACCATTAGAATCTAGCAAAATGTCTCTCTCAGCAAAATTCTGAAGTCAATCTTCAAAAAGTTTTTAAGAACATTTGAACCTTCAAGATTAGGATTTTATAGAGAAAGACTGAGAACAAATTAGGATTCAGTCGGTAAAACCATGCATATATACAACAGATGTTATATGCAGGCAATCTTCCACTTAAGCCAGGGTTTTTTCCCAAAAGTTCATTTGAAAAACATTTTGGAGTGAATTCTTTCCTCGTTAGACATAAAGCTATGCATGTGAAGTCTTCAGGCTCACAGAGCCTGTTTAACTCATCCTGTGCCTGAAACACAGTTAGGGCCATTTGGGAGCCAGTTCCCATTACTGACGTTCTTCCCATTGTTCCTAAAAATGCTGAAATTCCAATATTTGTGGACAAAAATCATGTTCTGGAGTGGTTCTTGCAACTAAAGAATGTGGTGTAAACATTCTTTATTAGGCCATGTATCTTGATATTAGAGTTTAGAGATATGCCTATTAGCTGTGAAACTATAGTGATATGGAAATGAGTAACCATGTGGAAGAATGATTCAGGGGGGCTTCATGTGTATATCAGAGCAATAACAGAAGCACCTTATGAGCATATAGCACTTGAACATTTTAAACATTTATGTATTATCCCCATTTTAATTTTGAAACTCTGAGACCCGAGCATTCTTGTTTGTTTTGTGGCAAGAGCTTAGGTGGAATGCTTTGAAATAAACAATAAGGTAGAGGCCAGAATCCTGAGAGAAGGATGAGGAGATGATCAGAATGAGGGTCTGAGGGAGAGGAGGGAGAGGCCAGTAGTTCAGAGGAGTGTGTCATGGACCACAGGACCATCCTACCCTCACCATATATCCCAAGGTGAGAACCCAAATTGCAGATAATGTTAGGTTGAAGGAGAGAAGAAGGCAGGGGATAAGGAAATTTTTTCCTCCTCCTGTCAGTCAGCTCCTAATCTTCCCAGTCATGGTTTCCTTCTGGTATCTTCAACATATTCTTCTAGAAAACATTCATAACCTTTGGTCAGCTCCCGCATTTGAGGAACATGTTGAGCTAGAAAGCATTTTTAAGCAAGGCTAGGAACCATATATATAGCATTGGAACCCGGAACAGATTTTCCTGTGGAAATAAACAACCATTTACAAAGAGTGTTTTGGAATAAGCTCCATCTTTTGTTTTGTTTTGTTTTGTTTTTTTGAGACAGAGTCTCATTTTGTCACCCAGGCTGGGGTACAGTGGCACGATCTCAGCTCACTGCAACCTCTGCCTCCCAAGCTCAAGCGATTCTCCTGCCTCAGCCTCCCGAGTAGCTGAGATTACAGGTGTGCGCCACCCCACCTGGCTAATTTTTGTGTTTTTAGTATAGTCAGGGTTTCACCATGGTGGCCAGGCTGGTCTCGAATTCCTGACCGCTCACCTCAGCCTCCAGAAGTGCTGGGACTACAGGCGTGAGCCACCGCGCCCGGCCCAAGCTCCATCTTTAAATGGGTTTTGCCTGTGCTTGCAGGATCCGGTGAGCCTGTGAAGAGAATAGTAAAACGCTGCATTCTCACGGGGGTGCAAAGCTTTTTCCTCTGAAACTCAGTGAACTGTTCTACCACTTCCTACACCTAGAGACGAGTCTCAACTATGTATTTTTTAGACAAAAAAGTTCAAAGCTTTTTATGTTTTATGATATTTTATGAACATGAGCTTTTCTGTCTGAAGAACTTTAAAGCACTTATGAAAATTATGATGATACTCATGGGGTCACTTTAGAATACACAAGAAAACAGAAGGGAAGAGGTTTGTTGACATGACCTGCTGACCTGCTGTGAGATATTGAACACATTATTTTTCTTCCCCCATGATCGTTCTTCTGACCATCCTGAAAGACAGCCAAGAAGGCGTTTTCTTCTAATTATTTCCAATTATTGTAAGTTCATTCAGACCTGCAATTAAACAAATTATCCATGTTTTGAGAATATTGATTTTAAACATTAAATGTTTACATTTCTATATAGAGAGAATTCATTCTCTGCCCCCCACCAGCAGATTTTAGCCTTAAAGGCGAGTTATTTAGTTTTGCTTATTCTCGTACACTGAGCAGTTGTTTAGCAAATGGGTTAAATAATGTAGTCTCTTGATTCAGGAAAATGTGGCTCACAAATGAACCATTTAGAGCAAATGGTGCATCTTTTGTATCTTAGATTTATAGTGCAATGAAGACATACTCTAAAGTTCAAACTTTTATTTTTATAGTTCAGTGTATTTGCAGGAAGAAAGGACTAGAGATTTTTCAGGCACTTTCTTTTCTCTCTGTCTCTCTTTTTCTTTTTTTTTTTTTTTTTTTTTTTTTTCAGATGGAGTCTCATGTTGCCAGGCTGGAGTGCAGTGGCATGATCTTGGCTCACTGCAGCCTCCACCTCCTGTGTTCCAATGATTCTTCTGCCTCAGTCTCCTGAGCAGCTGGGACTACTGGCACGCGCCACCACACCTAGCTAATTTTTGTGTTTTTGGTAGAGACGGGTTTTCACCATATTGGCCAGGCTGGTCTCGATCTCCTGACCTCGTGATCTGCCCTCCTTGGCCTCCCAAAGTGCTGGGATTACAGGTGTGAGCCACCGCCCCAACTAGCACTTTTATACTAATGTTCAAAGCACGTTCACATCTATCACACCTTTTATCTCCCACTCCCCATCTCCAGGTTGATACTTTCATTGGTACTTTATCAGAACACTTTCTACTGTAATAGCAACTCTTACTAAAATTTGGTAAAACAAACAGAAATGAATAAATTCCTCTTGAAGGAGTACAGCCTCTAAGACTCATTGGTTCAGTGACTCTGAAACATCACTGAGGACTCAGTTTCTTCCCATCTCTCTGCTCTACCATCTGTGGGGTTGGCTTCTTTCTCAGGCAGTTTCCCGTAAGTGGCAACAAGATGTCTACTAGCCACAAATGGAATAAGAGATTCCCTTGTCCATGTGCACCAGGAGATAGAAACCTCTTCACAGCCATTTAATACATATCATCCCTTCTTTTGATCTGATGTGGCCACTTACGTCATGAAGGGCAGTAACCGTACTCAACGCCCGCACTGATGGGCTTAGATCCGGCAGGATCCACCTCTAGAGCTGGGGATGGCTTAGCTCTAGCTATGCCATATGACTGTGTGTAGAAGAAACAAGGAAGTGGTTACCTTGGGGAGAAGGAGAGAACCAATGCTGGGTAAGAAACCAATAGTGCCATTAAAATGGGGCCATTGTACTTCATTGTGGCTTTCTTTTTATTCTCTAAATAAAACAAATTCTGAATATAATCTGTGAATCCCCGGCTCTTATCCCTACACACTATTGCACACTCTCCCTCCTTCTTCAGAGTCCCTCAAGGCATTTTGTGGCACCGTGGTGGGGGTGCCTTGTGTTGTGAAGGGCCGTGGTGGTGTCTTCATCTCTGATCTAAGTCTCTGAGTCTCCTTGACTGGAAGGTGCTGGCAGTTCAGCTGACACCGCCATCCAGAATCACTCAAGCACGAGAGCCCGCGCTGGGCCAATTGGGGCTTTGTTCTTTGGGATAGTGCAAGAATCATACCACATTCAGCGCAGACTCGGGGGAGATGCTTCTGTCTCAGGGAGTTTTAAGTGACAATTACTCTATCAAATTACTCTGTTACTTTCTGCTTTCCACTCCTCTGTCTTTAGGATTCAGACATAGGCTGTGGGAACAGAGCCAGATGACACTAAGGCCAATAATCGAGCTACTGAGAATGACTTCCAAGCTGCTGGCGAGGACAGCTGGGTAGAGACAGGTTGTAACCAGGAGGCCAGGCTCCTTGGGTATTTAGTGCCCAAGATAAATAGACCAATATAGGTGATCTGGGAACACATTTATCCTTTATAATGCGTGATCTGTGAGAAACTGGGTTCCAAACTTAAAGTCTGGGCTCAAAATGATTTAGAACACAATCTGTTTGCAGGTTGCAAGTTACTTAAATAAGTTACCGCTCTTCCTCCCTCTGTTGTCAGCCACTCTTCCCCAAAACACTATGTCATTAGAAGAGAAAGCTAATATAATAGAAAAAAATAGAACTTTTCTTCTTGCCTGTATCAAAGCAGTAATGATTTGATTTAACAATAAATGTCGTGGCTCACACCTGTAATCCCAACACTTTGGGAGGCCGAGGCAAGTGGATCACGAGGTCAGGAGTTTGAGACCAGCCTAGCTAACACAGTGAAACCCTGTCTCTACGAAAAATACAAAAAATTACCTGGGTGTGGTGGCACGTGCCTAAAATACCAGCTACTCAGGAGGCTGAGGCAGGAGAATCACTTGAACCCAGGAGGCTGAGGTTGCAGTGATCCGAGATCACACCACTGCACTTCAGCCTGGGCGACACAGCAAGACTCTGTCTCAAAAAAAAAAAAAAACAAAATAAAAATAAAAATATTAATGTCAAGGCTGAACAGGGGGACCTTCCCCCCCGCCCCCAGTTTCTTGACTGCACCAGCACAGGTTGCTGGGGAAATGCTCTGGTTTCTGCCAACTGTAGAATCAGTGGTAAAATTCCCAGCTGCTTCTTGCATTTGTCCCTTTATTCCCTATGGTTTGGCCAACCAGGGGAGTTGGTTGGGGTAGCATGGGAAGCCCACAGGAGCTCAGTCATAAGGGGAAGGCACAGTTAAGGCTAAAGGAATCCATAATGTATAAACTTGGCCTCACTGGGCCATCTACCCACGATGGGGCCTTGCCTCCACCTCTCCTGTGGAATGGTTATCCGATAGATGGTCTGATGTCCCCCTCATGTCTTTCCACATTGGAAATGCTCTTGTTTAGACAAAAATTTCCTGTTAAAAGACAAAAGCATAGCAACAGAGATCCGTGGTTTCTTCTGAGTCCTTCCTCTACCCTAGCAGTACTCTGGATGAAAAGAGGCAAGTTCTATAAATATAATGCAGCTTCCTGGACAAAATGTATTAAAAGGGTCAGATGTTCCACTTTCTGCAATCCAATGGAGTTGTGGTTGTCTGAAGTCAACTGATGCATTCAGGTTGGAATGGCGCCCAGGGAAGAGAGTTTAGGAACAAGCGTAAACTTGGCCTTCCTCTCATTACACTGAGGTCGCCACAGGATAACACTGTCTCCTACCCTCAAGGGTTTCCATGGTCTGACTGTCCAGCTGCAGCTCCTGTCACCATCCCACACTCCCTCTGCTTTGGCTGTGTTGGTCCGTTCACTGCTAACTTGCATTGTTTGCCAGCTTGCTCCATCTTCTCTGCTTGGGGCAGGATCAGGTAACCAATGAGCCCAGGGTCTCTACCACTCCTTTTGCTCCCCTCTGCAGTACCTAGGCGTTCATTGCAGACACAGAGAAGACCTACTCCTAAATATCTCATGTTACTGATGAGAAAAGTGCAGTCCAGAGAGAGCTGGCAGTACCATCAAACGTGCACAGCAAGTTCATGTCAGAGACTGAACTGGAATCAAGATATCTTGTCTTCCAGCTTCATACAGTTGCCATCATACCAGCTACATTGATAAGATTTTTTAATTTTCTCCAAAAAGGGGTGTGTGTGTATTTGTGTGTGTGTGTGCGCAATGCTTAGGGATGCCAAGCTATTTAAATCATATAGCGTGAAAACTGGGCCTGTTTAAACGTATATTAGGGTTGGGTCTGCATCACCTTTAGTTATCTAACTACTAATATTTCAAGGTTTTAGCATTCCTAAAATGTTTGCTCACCAGTCTTTTTAAATATTATATTGCTGTGGATATAAATTTTTTAAAAAGAATTTCTACATGTGATTTTATGGATACTTAGTGTTTGACTAAGGGTTGACTAAAAAGGCTGTTTCTGTTATCTGTTCAACGACGTCTTGTGTTTTCAACATATATGTACTAAACAGCATTATGTTGTCTTAATATGACACTAAAATGGTGTTGGAGGCAGAACATGCTTCTGTTTGTTACAATTTAGATTTGTAAGCTATCTTGGAAAATAGTAGTCTGAAGTACAGCATCCAGTGACAGCCTCCTGTGGTCTATCACTTTTTTTTTTAATAGCTGTCTACTTTTTCCATTTTGCAACAGATTTGGCTAAACAATGTTTTATTAATTCAAGCAGGAATATTTTCCTGCATTGAATTTGCATTAAAGCTGCCTAGGAAATAATATTACCTGGTTTTCCTCACACACCCTCTATGCTGCTAGAGGACTTTTAGAAAAGTTGAATTCAGAAGTCTGGAAAGAAATGAAACAGTGAACAGCAGAGGTGACTCTCCTTTAGAACTGCAAGGGGTAGTGAATCCATCAACAGTCACAAGTAAAAATAGTGTCTTCTTGTGGTAGAGTGCTCCTTATTCCTTTAAAAACTTTTCCAGTCCATCAGCAGGTATAAAAATGTTCAAGTGAAACCCCGTCTCTACTAAAAATACAAAAAATTAGCCGGGCGCGGTTGTGGGCGCCTGTAGTCCCAGCTACTCGGGAGGCTGAGGCAGGAGAATGGCGTGAACCCGGGAGGCGGAGCTTGCAGTGAGCCGAGATCGCGCCACTGCACTCCAGCCTGGGCGACAGAGCGAGACTCCGTCTCAAAAAAAAAAAAAAAAAAAAAGTTCAAGGCCTCTTGTCTTTTTGTAAGACATGTGTATAAAAAAGCATTCAGAGCAGAAGTGTTTGAAGATTGTCTTGTATACGAGGGTGGCTAAAATACGTACAAATAGACCCTGCCAGGAATATGAAAGTGAAGATTGATGCCGAAAGTCTCGTTGCTCTTTTTCTAAGCTGGCTGCTGTTGGCTGTGAGAGCTGTCTTTGAATTAGTGAAGGTTTCATGTGCCCACACATAGCCTGAAGTGAGAAACTCACTGTTGCTTGAACTTGCCAAAAGTAGACATAAAGCATTGGCTGCCCTACCTGTAACTTTTGCTAAAAACAGAACACAGAATTATCAT